AAACCCAACAGTTAGAAACATCTGTTGGGCCATGACAAATTGCAAAATAACAAACAAGCAAACGGGAGGAAATGTGCATATAAAAAATTTTTCTCCTGGCATATGGTCAGTAAGCTGCAATTTTTCCTTCCACAGGGAAGGGATTTAAGTTCTTGAATGATAAGATGCTTGGAGATGTCATTTCTTTTTCATTAAAAAAAACCCCAACCAACCAAAATTTTCCAACCCCAAACTCACAAACTGGTGTTAACAAAACAAGGTAAAAGGACAAATCTCCCAACAATGACAACTGAAAAATAAAGGTACACATCAGCATTTGTAATCAAAAACTACTACATACTGTACTTGGGAAGTCTTCTGGGAAAAGATCATTGGCATCTAGTGAGGACATCACTAAAAGTCTTGTGCATATGATATGTATGAGACAATGATGCCATTGGAGGGTGGATGGACGGACCCTTAGGAAACTGTCACTCACAAAACTGTTCCATGACAAGAGAAAATAAGAGATGTAAAAAGGATTGGTTTTCCCCATCCCCACCCCCCCCAAGCGTTACAGATTCCTTCTCATTTGTTGGAAACAGCCTCTTCTAGTCTCAGTTTGTTTGTTTTTTTTAAAAAAAAGTCTTCGGCTTTTGAAGAAGTCCATCAATTTCTGAGATGCACTTGGTTCCACAGCACCAAAGAGCTTCAGCTCTCTCTCCCCTTTGATTTGCTAACAGGGGCTTTCGGGAAGGACTGCTGGCTGCAGGACATTCCCAGAGCCACCATCCCACATGAGAAGGAGAAGTGCTTCTCGACACCTTTCTTTGCATTCATCTTCTTGAAAAAGTCTCATTGCTCCAGAGGTGTCTGGGCCCAGCTGCAGCAGCCTTGTGCAAGAGGAAATAGATGAAGCTGCTCTTTTCTCTTCCTTTGGAGACTCCCATTGGTCTTGGAGCCCTTTTCAAGAATGCAATTGCTTTATTATTATTTAAAAATATTTCATTGTGTTTTTTTTTCAAAATAGTTGTCTTTTTTGTTCCCTTTTTCCATTGCTTAAATTCTAGAAGCTCTTGGCGACTTCTCATTATTATGACAGGGTGTTTCTTCCTGTTGCCATGATCCTCAGGGCAGCTGCCTGTCTCTGGTCCATGCAGAACACTCAAGAACTGGAGCTTGGACATACAGGGGCAAAGGGGAGCAGGGCCTCAAGGAAGAGGAGTAGGACACGTACCTATCAAACCTCCACAGACTGAATTTGGTTCATCTGTGCTCTCATCACCTGGATACTGTTCAGAATTTTCTTCTGGTGTCCTGCTAAAGTGACCCCAACTCGCAGAATGTCCCTTTGGGAGGAAAAGAAACAAACACTGCATAAATATCAGAAGACATTTTCTCACAGCAGAACAAGCCTGTGTATGAGCGTCGCCCTGGACCGTGGTGTGTAGGGAGCTGAACTCTCCACAGATGTATTCCATGAATGCAACAAATGCACGCAAACTTGATGAAACCTCCACGGTTTCTCTTTGACTCTCTCCTGCTTCATCTCCCAGTCTTTGCATTTACTACCTACCTGCAGCACCCCCAGAGCACTGGAAGCCTCAATAGAGTGTGAAATCGAATACCACAGGCTCTGCTCACTGCTTGTAATTGAATTTGCCATAGGTTTTCTACCCTTGTATCGTTTTTCTTTCATTGCACGTGTGCATTATCTCTCTCATTTTGTGACACAGTAACCCATTTTTTCCATCCCTGGAGATATATGAACAGGATGTGCTACACCCTCATCAGCGTGAATCTCACTCCCCCTGTGCAGATCATGGCTGTTCTTGCTACTTTTGCTTTGATCTGTTGAGGCCATGAAGTGATAAACTTTTGCTAGTTATCCTCTTTGCTATATCACGGCAATCTAGTGTTTGCATTGCTTCTATTTTTTATAACTATTAGGCATTTGGGAAAATTAACGGTCATGCCAAGAGCATCAGTGTGACTCTGCATTGGTCCCATCTGTGATCACTCCAGCTGAGTTTGCTACTCATCTCTCATTTGGTGGATAAACCTCAGTCATGAATTCTGATCAGGGAACGGATGGCATTCATGTGACATGACCCATACCTGACTCTAAGGATTTTTAGTTGCCTTTTTTGCCTTCCTTGAGTGTTAGGAACAGAGTTTTAAGAAGCAGCGTGGCAAAACCCTTGCCTGTTTTAGAGTGGGAGTCAATGGGCAAAGAAGGGTAAACAGGAGCTCCAAGGAAAGGTGGAGAAACATCCTCTAGCACGAGCGGCACATGAGCCTGTATGTTTGCTTTAGAGCTTGCTTTGACCTTGTCTCTCTGGTCAAACAAAATGAGCATGAAGAAGGAAAGCTGAGCATGGGGATATGCCACAGATTTACATATTCTAGCTGGTGGTAACTGATTGGAGACCACCATTGGAGCAGGCTTCAGCCCGTACCCTCTGAGATCGGTGTGAGAGCAAACGTCCAAGACACAGTTTTGCTGCCGCCCAGACTCCTGCACAGCAAAGCAACTGGAAACCTGCTGGCACACTGCACAACTCTGGCACCCAGGACAGTCTTCTTCACAGTGACTGTTTTTCTTAGTGCGAGGGCTTTCCATTCCCTCCTCTGCCTCAGCCAGATGCACTGAGCTAAGGAATTTTCCTCCTTGGATGAGACTGGCATTTTGACTTTTGCTTTTGTTCTGATTGGGAACAAAGCCCAAAGTCTTCACTCATGTCTGTAAACCAGATTAAGACTCTGGTCCTGCACAGCCTTGTGCTTCCTAAGCTTTCTGCCCCGGACATAGGTCCTTCGGTGGCCCAGGTGTCCTGGCCTCCAGACAAACCAGTGAGAAACCTTTCAAGTAGTTCAGTATTGAAACCATGTGGATTTGGTGAAATGAAGCAGTCTTCAGTAAACATTTACACTTTGCTGGCTATCCAAATTTGAAGAAAACAGTGTCTCATCGCAATTCAGCTCCACTTATAAGATTACCTACTTCTGCAAAGACCAGTGAACGTTAGAAGGTGGTTTCAAGTAATGTTGCAGCATGATTTCTCAAGGAAAAAGGACTTGAAGCAGGTGAGAAACGTGGAAGGGAGGTTTGTCAAAACTGGTGGGGACATGAGCTGAGAATACCCTTGTGATTGAGATGAAGGCACTCGGAGAAGATTTGGAAGACATTGTGAGGGACATGGTAAGGAATTGGGAGAAGTGGCATTTAAGGGACACTGAGCATGTCCATGAAAAAAGAGACTTCATTAGCTGGACTGCCTGCAGAACTGTTTGCTGTTACATATATTGCAAATAGCACAACCTAGGCAGGGTTGGTTATGGTGCAGGTGTGATGTCCCACTTTGGCCAAAGTTCTTCCCTATCCTTCAGATTTTATGGAACCTCTTTCTGTTGTACAAACACAGCCTAGAGAGTGCCAAAATCATCCCTAGGGCCTTGGGGTTGTACCACAGGTATGCTAAAACAGTCAGAATTGCCATGTGAATTTCCTGGCAGCAAGTAAGAACAAAAAGCCAGAAAAGCTCAGTTTGGTTGTTTGTGTGAAAGGATTCTGATTCACTGGTAGATTTAAAGTCTGGAATTAGGCACCAAATCCAAAAACCTTCCTGGTTATCAGGCACAGACATTGCAGCACTTACAGATGGCTTTAATGCTTGGCGCTTTCTTAGGCAGGGTTTCTAAAGCTAACTGCAACCAACCACAACTCTTTCACCAGAGGCATCAAAGCCCCAGCTAGCCCCAAGGGACTTCAAAAACTACCACAAATGGATCTCAGCTGCCTACTTTCTCTGAAGAACTTGCTAAGATTTTGCCACCGAGGGATGTTTTTAGTGGATGCAGGACAATTCAGAACAAACTTGAAACCATCTGGACTTTCAGAGGCCTTTCTTAGGCAGAAATTTGCTTGCAGCATGTTTGTCTCCATTGCCAATACACCATACATCCAAGAGGACTGTGGAGTCTAAAAGTGCTCAAGTGGCTGGAGAATTGTCTGATGCTGGTCTGAAATCTCCATTTGCTCCATGTTGGGGTTTTGGAGACCCTTGTGGGGGTTTTCGTTTTCACAGTGGGGGCATGCAGCATGACAGTGTGGAAATGAATTCTGCAGATACAGAACGACAGACAGACACACAGTCTGGAGACAAGACAGAGCCTGCAGAACAGAGTAGTTCTGCAGAAAGTGAACAGACTAAAAGTGAATCCACAAAGCAGAAATTCTAGAAAAAGTAAAACTACATCATGTGAAAATAAAAACTAATTCAATAACAACCAATTGTTGTTAAACTACTGAGGCTTTTCCTTGTGCTTTGGGACTAGAAGCCTGGGCACTTACTCTACAGTCATCTGAGATACTACGTCAAAGGTGGTGAAACCAGCACTGGCAAAGCTCTCCTTGTACTGGCTCATCTTGATGGCATCCAGCCATTCATCCACAGTGTTGAAGCTGGTGTAATCCGGGATTGTGCGGTCAAGTAGGGGGAGGTTCATCCTGAAACAGAAATGGGGAATGAGCAGAACAAATGGTGGCAAGCATGTGTATTTCTGTACCCTCCATCAGCTGGAGGGACCTGGACCAGCATCATTCACAGTGCCTGCACTGCACCGTATTAAGAAGTACCACCCAGAAAGCACTCTATTCAACTGATGGAAGGACTGTGCAGAGCATCAGAGAAGTCTTTCTGGATCAGTCCATACGGAGAGGTAGGAGCCATCAACAATGATGGGATGCAGCTCTAAAATCCTGGCTGCACAAGGGAAGAAAGTGCAGTCTCATCATGGGGCCAGCACTTCCCACAAGTTGGTGTATCCCCACCCAGTCCAGGGAAACATCATACTGCCTAACGAGGCTTTATTTGCCTCCACTGCGTATGAGATTGGACTACCAAAGCAGCAACAACCATCCAGCAATCATGTGTACATGAAACCAAGAAGCTCCTCTAACTGTGCAGAGTACACCACCCAACGCAATGAGCTGTTCACCAGATCTAACCTGTCCAAGGAGAGGGATCAGAGTGACCTTGACATCTTTTAATGCCCTTCCTACAAAGGACCAAATAACACGGGCCAAGCTGCCTCTAAAACAGCTCGCCTAGAGACAGGCAAGGATGGTGCCCACCAGGACACAAAGGACAGCAGATCTGCAAATAGAAGCCAAAGGACAAGAGTAAGACAGAGATACATACCCAGAGGAAAGAGGTGCCATGGCTTTCAGGCTGTTAGGATTTCGGATCATTTTATCTAAGGTGTTGACAATTTGCCCAAATTTGGGTCTATGGTTTCGATCCTTCTGCCAACAGTCAAGCATCAGCTGGTGCAGGGCGTTTGGACAATCCATCGGCGGTGGCAGCCGATAGTCCTGCTCAATAGCATTTATCACCTGCAAGAGGAGAAACAAAGATCAATGCAGTGGCAATAAAACCTATTTAATTTATAATGTTCTTTTTCTTGGATCCTGAGGGTGACTGGCACGGCCAACCATACCACAACGGGGCTGCTCTGCCTACACTTACTGCTGCCTGTCATCTCAGCCGCCTATTCTTGTAGCAACGCACCACTCTAACTCCCAGCCCCCTGCACGTCGTCCTGTAAGGCGATGCCAGCCTTGCTCAGCCGACACCCAGCCGTGCTGACTACTTGTGATGAGTCATGCCCATCAGTCTCCCAGTCTGGGAAAAGACAGCATCCCTGCTACCTTGACAAGGATGTGTGAGCCCGCAGCTCTAGGCATAAGGTGACTCAAAAAGAAGGGTTCATGTTTTCAGACAGGTACACAGCACAATGCAACAGCTCACTGAGAGGAGAACATCCCTTCCAGTGAAGGGTCTGCTCATGAGTTACAGACAGGGGAAGATGCCTCTGTGTTTTCACAGAATCATAGAATGGTTTGTGTTGGAAAGGACCTCACAGCCCATCCAGTTCCAACCCCCCTGCCATGGGCAGGGACACCCTCCACTAGCCCAGGTTGCCCAAAGCCCCATCCAGCCTGGCCTTGAACACTTCCAGGGATGGGGCTTCTCTGGGCATCCTGTTCCAGTGCCTCATCACCCTTATAGGGAAGAATTTCTTCCCAATATCTAATCTAAATCTACCCTCTTTTAGTTTAAAGCCATGCCCCTTTGTCCTGTCACTCCCTGCCCTTGTAAACAGTCCCTCTCCAGCTTTCCTGTAGGCCCCTTTAGGGACTAGAAGGTGCTATTAAGGTCTCCCTGGAGACTCTTCCTTCCTTCAGTGGTGCTTTCCGCTCCTGCCAGCAACCTAGCCCTTCCAGGTGACAGTGTCACACCACAGGACAGGGCTGGATGTGCCGAGCCAGCAGTAAGAGCTGATCACCCTACAGTCCTGTGTATGTGCAAACTGAAGCACAGAGCAGGAAGGATCAAGATCTTGGCCAGTAGAGCCAGGCACAGGAGAACTTTGCTGCAGCATGCAGAGAAGGGTTGCAGCACACCTTGCCTAAGCCACGCTGCAGCTCTGTGGGCGTGAAGGCTTTGGCTGCTGCCTGTTTGGTCTCTCCTTATTGCACCACACCACCTGGGAAAATGCCTGGTCTTGCACTGTTCAGTGGAAACAGCACATGCACAAGGGTTAGGGGATCTTCTTCAAGGGGAACCCCATCTCCCTGTCACTCTGCACCTGTAGCCCTCCATCCTCTCCTGGGTAATCAAGGAGCATGGAACTCCACGGCTTCTTCCAGGGCCCTATGTGACAGGCAGGCTTCTCCTGCCTTCTTGGCCTTATGCATCCTATGCTCATACACACAGCACGGGCAATGAAAGGCAAGCAGAAGGAGCCTTGGAAACTAGAAACAGGCTTGTGCATGGCAGTGAAAACCAGAAGTGAGGATCAAAACCAGAACTGAGGATACTGCAGTAACTGAAATCAGGAGCAGCATTTTGAAATGACCAACTCTCCACAGAGATGATAAAAATGGGGAGGGAGATTGAGAGAACCTCCCTCAGGGATCTGGTGGAAGGACCTCGATGTCTCTGGCTATTCTCACCATGTGATCATGGCTGCCATTGCTTTGTCCAGCCATGTCTTGCATACTTCCAAGGGCAGAAATCTGTCTGGTGGGCTAGCCCATGGCTGTACCGCCTTCCTGAGGAAGGACTAGCCATACCCATACCGCAGCATGATGAATACACTTCTGAGCAGGAAGGCTGCATAGAGAAAATCGAGGACACTGCAGTTGGGATTGGGAGAGCAGCAGGGAAGGTTGGTAGAGAGGAGACACCGGAGGTGCTGTGGCAGTAGAAGGCTGCTGCTGCAAGGGAGGGTAGGTGGCAGATCCATGCCAAGCAGTTCAGGGTGTGAGGTGGGGCATCTGACAGGGTCTAAAGGACTGTGGCTTCAGGCAGAGAATGGATTGGGAGGGTGCTCTAGACACTGAATCATGTGGCCAAGGTGCTGGGCAGACTGACCCGAGACAGATGGGGCTGGCACCGCTGCTGCCAAAGTGCACCAGATGGAAGGAGTCCTCCCTCCCCTCTGCCCCCCTGGCTGGACATGACGGTGCCCCACCAGGCCTGTGAAGGTCCAACCTGATGGCTGGTGTGCTTTGTGCAGCTCTTGCCTCCTGTTCAGGGATCGTCCCAAGAGGTGCAAGCTGTCCCCTCCCCCAGCTCTCTGGATGGCAGATCTACCCGAGACAGAAGGGAGGGGAAGCACAGCGGGGGGAGCAGGGCTGGGGAGGATCATCACAAAAGCATCACGTGCTCATCTCTGGCATGGACCAAATGGTTTCCCAACAAGCCACCCACCTTGCTGCCAGCAGACGCATCCAGCGAGGGAGCACTGGCAGCACTCCCCGTCTCCTCTCCCCCCCCAGCCTCCCCAGGTGCTCACACCCCGGGGTCAGGAGGCTAATCTGCAGCAAATATCCACCACACGCTCATTTGTAGGGAGGACCAGCTGCAATTAAGTGGTGACAGCTTCTGGGGCACAATGTCCTGCAGCAGAAGAAGGGGAAGAGGCTGGGGACGAGCACGGGCTCTGCCATCCCCGCTGGCTGGATCCGTGCTG